ACAAAAAGACACAGAGACAGTTTCTTCCCCCGAGCTATTTCACTGATGAACAGCTAGTCTATGTTTGCTCTTTTAACTTGTGATTTTTTTTTTTTTTTACTTGCATATATTTTGTATTTATTTATTTTGTTTTTATGTTGTGCACCCCGGGGGCCATTGGACTGGAGTTAAATTCCTTGCATTTTTCAAATACTTGGCAATAAAGTTTATGCTTATGCTTATTCTGTGTCTGCCTAATCATGGAGCATTAGTAATAAAGGACACATTGTTGTTCAACACAGGGAAATCTACAGACTGACTGAGGGACTGCAGCGAGAGCGTGCAAGCCTCCTCAAACAACTGGACCTGTTGAGGTATGATCAAAAGAACAATTGAGGTGTGTGCCCTATCTAGACAGAGCCACAGATGTTGTCATTGTTGTGTTGTTCTGTTGCATTTATATGGCATTATATAATGACTTGGGAAGCTTGGTCCACAATTTTGAAAAAGTTGGTAGTGGTTTAGTGCCATTACTTTTGTGACAAATATCCTAACCTATAGATGCAATAACTATACAGTGGTGGTCAGAAATTTTTTTTTATTGTAACACCTCTGTTGATAATTTACCTCATAGTGCAGTGGCAACAGTGCAAAACAGGACTGAAAACTTACTTGTTCTCATTCCTGTGGATTCATGGATAGTGAATTGTTCAATAACAAACAGTTGTACAGTCACTGTGTAGTAGTTCAGTATCACACAACAAATATTTTTATGTTTAATTTCTCTGTTTTTTCTAGGGAAATGAACAAACATTTAAGGGATGAGAAGGACATGTGCCAGCAGGTACTGTATGTGCCATTTATTATAGTAGAATAAGTACACTGTGTCATTTAAATTTCCCCTGTTCACACTTTATATGCTGTCTTTTTAAAGATTAGTGGAACAGAAAAAGATGTAACTCAGAATGAAGCATGAATTAATTATAGTATGAATAATAACTTCTGCAGAATCCAGGGAATTTTAAGAAACCGCCATATTTGACGCAGAGACCTTTAGTCAGTGTTGTGAAACAGACAACCCCAAATGTCTTCAAAAGGTAAACATCACCAAGTACACTCAATTTCACAGCTCTTAGTACTATACTGTGTACCATAACGATACTTTGTACCTGCAGTGAGGATGAGGAGGAGCTGACCTCCATCTGTGACAGGCAGAACCTAGCCAATGGGTCGTGCCAGCCGTCTTACCCAGCAGGGGCAAGAGGGCACCTCCAGAGGATCATCTCCATTGAGGAAGACCCCCTCCCACAATCGCTGCAGAAAGACTGTCGTGCTCAATCCCCTCTTCAAGAGTGCAGTGAAGAGGAAGCGTCTGACAGTGAAGAGAATATGGACTTGGTAATGAGTGGTATTTATCCATCCTCTGCCCAGCAACAACAGTCAAAGAGCAATGTGGAGAACAGAGAAACCCCTACATCTCCGAGAGGTCAGCCTGTTGGCAAGGAGACCAGCATAAATGTAAGCATGTAGACATTGAATGCTAGAATATATGCGAGAGTGCAGCCTAAGTATTTACACGTTTTTTTTTTTTTTTGTTTGTTTGTTTTATTGCAGAAAGCCAGGTAGTAGATATATGGAAGAGACACCAATTTTACCTAGTTGTACCCCATCTTACACAAACAAGATCCAACCACTTGTCTAAAGGGAATTCTTATGTCCTATCCTCAGTATTTGCTCCTATTATTCCTGTGTTTATTCAGGAAGAAGGCAGTCCCTCACCACCTGACCGCCTCTTCAAGATTGTTCTGGTTGGGAACTCTAGTGTGGGAAAGACCTCCCTTCTTCAACGTTTTTGTGTTGACAGCTTCCACGCAGGCACTTCTGCTACTGTGGGTATGTACCTTATGGTGCAAACACACACACACACACACACACACACAGACAGACAGTTCCAGTGAGTGAAGATGTACATCCAGCACTGAGGTTAACCTCATGGCATATTCATGTGCAAGCATATTAATCTAACTATTGGTTTCAGTACTGACAAGATCATACAGTTTTTGTTCTTAGAGTACAGCAGTGTCAGTTGGCCAGGTCTCTCCTGCCAAACAGATTTCAAGAGAGATCTTGGAGAAATAACTGCTAAATGAAAATAGTGAAAGGATGCGATGAAAGACTGAAATACTATTTACATGCTGATGCTGGCCTGTCTAGAAACTTAAATGTTTGGTTTGTGTAGAATATACTGCGGATGTTTCATTCTTTCATTCATTACACAACTTGTAGTGTTTCATTTTGGTAGGAGACAGCAGTAAATGGAGCAGATAGTGCTCCAGGATGACTGTCAAAGTTCCTCACTTAAGCCTTTGGTTTTACATTTTGTGTAAATATTTTAAACATTAGGAAGTTGCAAAGTATATTATAGTCTTCAATAATAGCTCTGTTTTCCCCAAGTGAAAATTTCCATTTTCAGTTTCTTCCATTGATCTGGGCTTAATTTTTCCAGTATGAATGTTTAAAATATGTTAGGTCATGCAGGTCATTATGTACATTTTCACTTTATATATTTGTGCTTGCTTCTCCAGTAACTTGTACTGATGAAATATGGACAGTGTTTGCTTGATTAAAGTAATCATTGTATTGTCTACGTGTGCAGGTGTAGACTACAGTGTAAAGACGATAACAGTGGACAACAGCCAGGTGGCACTGCAGCTGTGGGATACAGCAGGACAGGAGAGGTGAGGTTTCAGCACACAAGGTGGAGACAAAGAGAGGATCACATTTGAATGGAGTTGTACTGTAACCTTACTTCACCTCTTTCCTCTCTGGTATTTTGACTCTTTGTGACACCACTTTTTTCAAGAGTGTGCTTGCTGGAAAATTCCTTGAAAAGCAGATGGCTTCCTGGAAATAGTTTAAAACACACACCAATGTTTTTCTTCCCTTGTGCTGCGCCATTCAGTAGCACACCCACAGTAAAACCAATGTCATTGTTCTGAATGTAATGCACCTCTAATAAGAAACTTTGCAAACATCATTCCTATATTTTTACATGTTGTACAGATGCAAGTACTGTAAAGCACAGAAAGACTGTTCAGGAACTTTTTAACATACCTGTGAAAATGTAATACTTTCACTTTTTGTCTGTTTCTTCGTCCTCCTGCTCTTGCAGGTATCGAAGCATCACCAAACAGTTTTTTCGCAAAGCTGACGGTGTGGTCGTTATGTATGACATCACAACTAATCAGAGTTTCACCAGTGTCAGACAGTGGCTGACGAGTGTAAAGGTACCCCTCTGCTGCACACATAACTGGGTTTTTTTTGTTGTATTTTGTGTTTCTGTGCAGTTGTTGCTCTATTTTGTTTTTGTACAGTACTGTAAATTGAAAATCAGCTTTCTAAGAAACAGAATGGGTATTTATTCAATATCTTTCAAAGTGTATTGGTGTAGAAAATACAGAGCAAATATACAGGTCAGTTGCTGAAGCTGTTATGATTCTTTGATAAATCTATTCGCTGCTGGCTGTTTTTCCATTCAGGAGACACAACAGTGAAGCTGGTGACCTGCTGGCTTTTAGCCACAACTGACTCTCTTTAGACAAATTTCTGTCTCTGTTCTTTTCTTCTTTTGTTCTGTAGGAGAGTGCAGGTGATGACATCCCCATCATGCTTTTGGGAAACAAAACAGATAAGGAGGTTGAGAGAGAAGTTCCAAGAAGACTGGGTGAAAGACTAGCCAAGGTCTGTCTGTCTGTTTTCTCCACTAAGATCAAGTTTGTGTAAAAAGTGTCAGTTTCAGACCACATTCACAAAGTGGTGCTCTATTTTCCACAGTTTTAATAAATGAATGATTGTTGATTAGAGTGTTTTCTATGGAAATGACTCCTGCATGAATCTGGGGGTGTTTTATACTCAAATTTCCTTTCATATTTTTTTCATTTCTCAAGTCTCAAATTGGTTTCTATGGAGACTGTAAAAGTGAGCTTGAGCTTGTGGATTTATTGATAGTCCTACCCTCATCAATGTGGAAAAGTGTGCAGTGGGCAGTGTTTGCTCAGATAAATAGTTCATTTAAATCCCAGGAGCCTTTTCACTTTGGTGGTAATGACAGCCATCGTCATCATTTGGCTCATTTTCAGGACTGCCAGATGGCTTTCTATGAGTGCAGTGCATGCTCAGGATACAACATAGTGGAGTCCATGGTTCATTTAGCCAGGTGAGTAAAATGGCCTTTCTGCATGAATGCATGTAACAGGAAGACAAACAGTAATAGTGTTAGACTAAATATGGTTGCAGCAGTCTGCTTGAGCAGCTTTCAAAGTGGGGTTATCTTTGTCCTGAAAAAAGCCCACATTTTTTACTTGTTCTTTGCTGAAGGCACAAAGGAGCTTTTCTTATCAGGTAATTCTGCAAAACACAACAGAAAGCTTCACCTCCAAGTAAAAATATCTGGCTTTGTTCACAGTTTAATTGGTGTGAAGTGAAAATGTCATTGTCTGCAGCATATTTAGTTTTGTCAGTGACTTTCATTACTCCAATTATTGTCAATATGTTGTATTGTGCTTTGTTTTTTTACATTAGAAAACTGAACCAGTGCCTTTATTTTACTCTAGATTACAGTTTGAACTGTCAGTAGTCTGCTGTCACTGATATTTCTGCATACTGCAACAATGCAGTTGTATACTGTATAACATTACAGGTTGACTTGACATTATGGTTCTACAGCATTTGTTACACAGCAATATCAGAATCAGAATCTTCTTTATTGGCCAGGTGTGTCAGACACATAAGGAATTTGACTCTGGTACATCAGCTCTCAATGTGTATGTACATATCCCCATGCAAGGGTCAAGTAAACAGTAGACCAGCATAAGGCTGCGTAATATAACAAAATAAGCAGTATTAGCAAGCATGACAAATAACTGCAAGAAGAGCTGCAGCTAATCCCCCAGCGGGGGAAAAACTTGAGGGGCCACACACACCTGATCCAGACCTGGAGATTTAAAAGCAGATGCCATTGGAGCCACAAAGCACACATCAGTTTTCATAGTAAACTAGTGCAAAGGCCACAGAACATAATGATGGACATTAAGGCTGTCCTGTCACTACTGGTCCATATGTTTACTTAATAATATTTTTTAGAATTCTGCAGGAACAAGAGGATAGAGAGAAGGAAAAGACAGTGGAGCTGGTTGGCAGCCCCTCAGAGAAGAAGAAATCCTGCTGCTAAGAATGAAATAGTAAACACACACAGTATCACTACCCTTTATGAACATATAAGGTGTGATAGGGTGAACACCAGAATATATAATGTCATGTATCACAGATGTTATAGCACTCTTACATAAAAAGTCTACTATATATGATTATCCAATGATTAACTGTTAATTTATGAAGATGTAGTAAAACTGTAAAATATATATACATCATAAATGTTTAAGTGTTTCCTTTGAGGGTTAGATATAAAAATAGCTGAACAAATGTGTCCACTGTAAGTAAATGTAGGATTTTTCAGAAATATTTATTTAGCTTTGAAATCTGCCACATTGGGCCTTTTACTGTATATTAATATGTTTGTTCAGTGTAATGTGTAATTTTTAGCAGTTTTGGCCCTTTGCCTTTTGTACAGGTCACATAGACACAATAATATGAAACTTAATCCATAATTAAATACCCTTGCAGTAAACACTATCTCAATGAAACTTGTGACATCCAGTTTCTTTTGGCATTATGCCAAAGAGGTGTTAATTTAATTTAGTGATTTTTTTTTTTTTTTTTTTTTTTTTTTTTTTTTTGGGGGGCCAGGATGTTAGGTGGTGTTTTGTGGCATCGCAGGATACTGCACCAATATGTCCATTTTTTCACCTGGTGAGCAAAGTATAAAAAAACAAACAAAAAAAAAAACAAAAAAACAGATGAAACGGTGCTTAAAAAAAAAGAGAAAATGGTTAGTTTCAAATGTGGAAATGTAGTGTTGTTTTTGTTGTACTGTACAGGGGTTGCTATGCTTCCTGAGCATTTACTGTAGCTGGGAACTTTGCTCAGTTGTATTGTACTTTTAAAATTTGGGAGGTAATACAGATGTTTTTTTCCCCCTAACAGGCCAAATAAAGTAGTGTTATGTTATCTATATTGGGGAAAGGTTACAGTTTTAAAGGTTTTGGTAATAAAGTTTGGATTTTACAGTTTGATATTGTACTGTACTATACTGTAGTCACTATTAGTGCTTCACTACTGCCAGTGTTTTGCACACTATTGTATGTCTAAAAATGTAAATAGCATAAAACAAATAATTAAATAAAGATTTGTTCATGTGTATGTTGTATGCAAATGACCTGGTGACTTGTTTCTTCTTGGTACAATGAAATCAAAGTAAGTTATACAGCTTCACTCAGTGGAAATGTTTAGACAATGTTTATTCACTTTTTAAGTTAACATGACAAAATGTGAAAGAACATATTCAATATAACAAATTTATGTGGAATTAACATGCCAGATAGAATTTTTAATTGTATGTCAATCTAGCTCTGTCATTAATTTGAGCAGCTTTCATCAGACATGTTACTGTGGATGCATTCCAAATGTGCTCTCAGAAAGCAGCACTCAGTTTGATACTACAGTTTCTTGTTATTAGAATGTATAGTTTCCTTCATTGCTCTCAAGTGCTCTGACTGTACGTTTTGCCTACAGCTCTGAAAATATTCATGAGGTTCTCTGCATGGTGTAGAAGACATGGAAACAGAGGCCAGTTTTGGCTGTTTCTGGATATGACAGTAGTGTAGAACACACAATTAGAATATGTGAGAAAGGCAGCATTACAGTCCGTACAGAAAGTTTTCAGGCCCCTTCAAGTTTTCCACATTTTATGTTTCAGGCTCATTAAAATTGATTTTTTTCCCCCTCATCAATCTACACACAATACTTCACAATGACAAAGTAAAAAACAGGTTGTTGGAATGTTATTTAAATTTCTAAAAAGTAAAAGAATGAAATATCCCATTTACATAATTATTCAGACCCTTCACTTAGTACTTGATTAAAGCACCTTTAGCAGCAACAACAGCGATGTCTCAAGTCTTCTGGAGAAAGAAGATACAAGCTTGGCACCTTTCTTTTGGAACTTTCTTCCATTCTTCTTGGCAGAACTGTTCAAGGTCAACCAGTTTGGATGGAGAGCATTGGTGCACAGCCATTTTCTCTGGCTGGGCCACTCCCGTACTTTCACAGTTTTCCCGAAGCCACTCCTGTGTTTTCTTGGAGGTCTGCTTTACATTTCAACAAGACAACATCCTAAACCTTTGCCCCACCCTGAGCACTTTGGAGAAATTTTTCATTTAGAATTGCTCTATATTTTCCTGCATCCATCCTTCCCTCTGTCCTAACTAGTCTCCCAGTTGTAGAAAAACATCCCAATAGCACAATGCCGCCACCACCGTGTTTGACTGTAGGGATGATAGGAAGGTGATGCTGAGTGCCTGGTTTTCTCCACACACACCATGGGTAATTGTGACCGAAGAGCTCAATCTTTGTTTCATCAGTCCAGAGGATTATGCTTCTCATGGTCTGATAGTCCTTTAGGTGCCTTTTGACAAACTACCAGCAGGCTGTCATGTGTCTTTTAGTGAAGACTGGCTTCCCTCTGGCCACTCTACCTTAGGGGCCTGATTGGTGGAGTGCTGCACCGATGGTTGTCCTTGTGTAAGGTTCTCACATCTCCATAAAGGAACTCTGGATCTCATTCATAATGACCCTTGGGTTCTTGGTCTGACCAAGGCCATTTGTCCTTGACGCCTCCATTTGGCTGGGCAACCAGATCTATGAAGACTGTTGGTAGTTCCAGATCTCTTCCATTCGAGAATTAAATGAGTTGTCAGTCTTTTATATTTAATGAATAAAAAACACTCCAAAAACCTGTTTTCATTTTATCACTGTGGAGGATTGTGTGTAAACTGGTGAGGGAAAAATGAATGGAATCCATTTGAAGATGAGTCTGAAACATAACGTAGAAAACTTGAAGGTTCTAAAACCTTTACATACTGACTATATATCAATAAATGCTTCAAAGAAGAATTCATATTTTTTACTGTAATCTTTAGAAGTTTTCAAGACAACTTCAGATATCCAATATCCACATGGTTTGAGTGAAGAAACCCATTCAGTGGTTACCTTGGTAATGACCTTAGTAAGAGCAAAGGTGAAGTGCAAAGATAATTTTCATCAGCTTCAATAAAGTCTGAGACTCAGATAAATAAAAAAAAATCAGTATTACATCAGGGTACTTGTATATACATATGGTACATCGAACAAGATTTTCTGTTGCTACTGTAGAAAAAAAGACTGCAGAAGCGTGTAAAAGAACTAGGTACACTTGGGCAGGTGGTCAATGCATTTAGGATGGCAAAGTTATGCTACTGGCATGTCAACATCACAGCTCAAACTGATGACACGGCACATCGGCAGTCCAACAACAATGTACACTCAGAAATCTACTAGTGCACGGCCTATGCAAACACATAACTGTACCTTATACATGTACCTACAGTGTGCAGGGTTCTCCTTGGCTGTAGTTGTTCAATTACTGTTAGTTTTCCAACATAGCTAAATTAATATAGTTTTAAATAATTTTATTCCCTATAGTACATATTATGACACAAGAACTACATCTTAACTTTGTCTAACAGAATGTGGGAAACAGAATTATTCAATAGATTAGCTCTAGTGTATTTTCAAAATTGTCAGCTGTTCCTCCATTAGGTCCAAGTTATTTTGGAAAACAAACACTAAACAAAATGCACATGTACTGTACATCACTCCATCTCACGTATACATACATCTGTGATCAATAATATTCATCATGACTACAAAATACTGCTAGCCTTTTTTGTCAGTGTTATATTCAGAGCTGTTTCGCAGTCGGCATCAGTAACTTCTTGCCTTCATCAAACACAGCATTGACAATGATAATATTGTCAGTGGGACCACGTTGGCCTGGGCTTTGGCCTAGTCTCTGTCTTGTTCTGTGCCACTTTTATCTCACACAGTGTGTCCATCCGCGGTCATGGGAGTGTTTCTGTTTCCCTCTGGTGGTCAGCGGTTGCACTCAGTGGGACACCAAAGGCCCATCAAGTCGAGCTTAACGCATCTTGTAGTCATGAGAAATGGCTGCTTCACACAGTTGTCCTTTGAAATCCAGCTCGAAGGTAAAGTCCAAGTCACGCTGAGGGTGAACAGACAGGAATAAAGGTTTTTCAGAGAAACAGATTGTAATGACTGAGCAAATATGTGGCTAAATGTGAGGGGGGGGGATAAGAAAGGGATGCATCAGATTGTCTCTTTTGACCTGACATTATGTTAAAGATGCTAAGGCTGTGTCAGACAACAGGAGAGAGCTAGTGCCAGTTCTCCACCCTAGAAGGGGAGGAGAGGACACAGCCAAGGTCAACAATAGAATCTGTTGTTGTTTGTCTGGAAGTTGGTGCAGTGCTGCTGCCAGCTCGGGTGCTATGCAGTACTGAGGAGGAAACAATCTGTCGTGGACTGGCAGAACAGGAAATGAGTCATTTCTTACCTGCTTAGCTAGCACCCAAATGACTGACGGCAGATGTCATTACATACTACCTACACAATATGGACTGCACAATACTCACAATGTTTTTCTCATTGGGCTTCATAGCAATGCTTCCAATGATTTCCTCTCCTCTTCGCACTGTCAAATAGTCCTCCAGATAAAACACCGTCTGCTTCCAGTGGGTGTATGGTGCATCTGGAGCTTGGATAAACACACACACACACACACACACACGCACACACACACACACACACACACACACACACACGTACAGTTGTACTTAATTACTTTTTTATAAATAATTGCTAAATTATTTACTATATTGATACTTTACAGATCAGTTATAAATAATTGTTAAGAAGGTTGACTAGCTGCCAGGTTGCAAAAATTCCCTTGTGGTGTTTATTAAGGGCTGCAGAGCATCTGGTTACTCTTATTAAAATTTGCTATTTCAGATAAGATGGATTATTATAAAAATGCTTAATTAATGACTTCACATTTATAACTGTGACAACCCACGAGCCTTTATAAATGGATTTCCAGCATTTTAACTGCAGCATTAGAAAATACAACCACAGGATTTTTGCACAACCTAGCAAGCCAAAATTGGCTCTTATTACTGGCTTATATTTAATGGCTGAGCTACAAAATATTCATCAGTAGTTTATTAATGATTTGATGAAAATGATGAAACATTTAATAGTGCTTTATGAGGAAGTTGTACCAACAAAATTTTAATTTTGGCAGCACAGCAACTAATGTGTCAGAAGCAAGGCAACAGATATACAGTATGGCATCCCCATGTCATTGCTGTAATCCCCCCCTATTGCCAAGATTCCGATGTCAGTGGCAGCAGACATGGGGCAGACGGCAGAGAGACACCCTGGACAGATTTTCAGTCCATCACTGAAACACTTACTGTATGTCAATACCATCTCTGCTCTGTTTGATGTGAATAAACAAAAATTGTACAGATCAAATGCAGGGGCAAGAAAATTCATGGCTGTGCTTGTGACCTCCCCTGCTGCTTGAGTCGACCTTCTTTTATCACCGTTTTACTTTGTGTCTATTGTGCAGCCATCTCTGTGTGTGTGTTTGTATGCATGCATACATGGAAACGCACATGGGCAAAACCTGACACCCCTGCCCCAGAACAAATGTGAATATTCCCCAGTGCCCTGACCACTGGTGTTCGCTCGGCCAAGATTCAAAAGGTCACTAACACTTAAATTGAATTTCTGGCAGCTTGGTAGCTCTGCCTTTAGAGACAAGCTCTTATGAGTCCAGAGATAAAAGGGCCTGCCAATCAGCATGGCTGCTGCAAGTCTGGCTCTTGTTTTTTTGGGCAAAGTTCGATAGTCACTGACAAGCTAACTGTGTTTTTATGCTAATTCAGTAGATGAGATGGCATTTCTTCTGGCCAGCGTCAATTGTAATTTTTGGCCCTGACTTTCCTTTTTCTCTTTGGCTAAGAGCCTGTGTGTGTCAGATAACTGTCTTTCAAGACTGTATGGACAATCAGTGGCACACTTGGACTCTGTGTGTAAGTTTAGATCTGTATCTGAAAGCTTTGGCAGACAGATGGTCTCCAGGGCTCACAAGTGGAAAACATGTTTGAAAGAATCAATAGAAGAAAAGTGGTTAGCAAGAAAAAACTGAGGGTAGGAAATGATTTTTTGCATACAGCATTTATTTTTGGAAAAGATGCAAGGTCCTTGTGATCACACACATAGTGGTCACACACAGTTATCAGTACTAGAAGGTCAAAAGATCTATTACGTAAACTGAGGTGATTCATTCTGCTGTACATGCCATTTCACTGTACAATGTGGGACATGTTAAAGGCTCCAACACCACTAGAGGTCAGTCACACACAGATTTTGGCACAACACTACAAAGATACCCAGGTCGGCCGTACAACATTGCTCCAGTCCAGCACTGTCTGGATCATGTCAATTAGCCTGATCTGAACGGCTGTAATACAGAGTGATCAATGCCTTTAAAGCCTCATCAATGACCATGTTAAAAAACAGAAAGATTGCCAAGTGAGTTAGCATACAAAACCTCATCATGACCTGCCAAAACACAGCTAGACATACGTACTTTTCCTAGTAGTTATTAAAATAGGGATCTAATGAGGGATCAAAACCATCACTATAATAATTAGTGTAGCTCTAATAGCTGTATATAATACACTGGATGTAAAAATACACCCTTAGATCCTTGTAGGAGGCAGTGGGTGAGGCATCTTACCAGTTGAAAAACCAGTCTTCTTGTGACACTTGGTGAACTCGATGTTGAAGTAGGTAACCATTGCATGGATGTAGTCATTCCTCTGGATCTGAAGGCAGAATGCTGAGGTGAATGAGAGATCCTCAGTCTTTACTGTGTAGATGTCCACCTCCTGAAAGAGTAAAGATATGGTTCTTCTCAAATATCTGGATCACAGTGCGAGTCACTGGTTATTTTAAGCTTTAATATTTATTCCTTTTTTAAAGAGATGCTTTTGACATTTTGGGGAATATACTTATTAGCTTTCTCACCAAGAGTTAGTTGAGAGGATGCCACTCAATTTAATTATGAAGCTACAGTCAGGGGCCGATGGGGAAAATACTGATGGGGCTTAAATAATATACAATTTAAAGGTTTAAACAAGCAAAATAAGATGAGGTGGTAAACTTTAGAGGTGCTTTTCTGTTTTTGTTTTTTTTTTCTTGCTACTTGGCCAGAGGCAAGCTAAATTTACCCAGGTTTCTAATCTGTGTGCTAAACTAAAATAATGTGATGAGAAAAGATAAGCTTATCTCGCTCTAACTTCAACAAGACAAAAATAGATGTATTTCCTAAAGAGTCAAACTCTATTTTAAAATTGCAGTTAGTTTTATTCTGACCACAAACGAAGGATCTAACAATGCTGAAACAAATTCATGAAATCCTGAAATTTGTGATGTCATGTACAAAACATAAAAGAGACCAAAAGAACCCTGTCCAGAATGACAGTAGGTCTACACCATCCACCTGTATAAGGATATACACCAATCAGCTATAACACCACGGCCACTGACAGGTGAAGTGAATAGCACTGATTATCTCGTTACAGTGGCACCTGTCAGTGTGTGGGGTGTATTAGGCAGTAAGTGAACATTCAGTCCTCAAAACTGATGTACTGGAAGCAGAAAGCCTAAGAATCTTAGTGACTCTGACAAGGGCCAAACTGGGATGTCCAGATGGTTGAGTCAGAGCATCTCCCAGTCTGCAGTGGTTAGTACCTACCAACAGTGTCTAAGGAAGGACAAACAGTGAACCAGCGATGGGGTCACTGATGCCCAAGGCTCACTGATGATGATATTGACCTACTGTAGATTAAACAGTTAAATTTCATTCCTTTTCAGAAGATTCCACTTTGTTTGAACCGTTGATAAAATGGCTGAAAATGAAAAACACGGTACATTGGTCTCTATGAAGAGTGGCTATAGTGGTGATATCACACCTAGAGTGGGGAGGCTGTTGAATTGGTCTAAAAAATGATCTCTAACTTGTCCTCACAACCACAGTTTTCACTCCTTTTACATATTTTAATCACTCCTTCATGCCCTTCCTGACAGTATAACTATGGAAGCAAACAGATCCACAGAATATGCACAGTGACACAAGTGCCAACCAACTCCTATGTACACTGTTTTAGGCAGGCAGGCATAATGGTATGGCTCAGTATAACTGGAACTGTCCCTGAAGGGCAAACATGTAGGCAGAGATGTGATGGTCTGGTTTCATGTACCATTGCCGCTAATAGACATTCACTGCTAGCTTGCTGAATTTGGTACCAGATGGTGGTGGAGGAATGAGCCTTATGTATATTGGCAGTAAAAACAATGGACTGTTAATGTTGGGATCCCCCGTGCAACTTATAAAAATAATCACTCCCATAAACACGTTTAAGATATTTATTCTGATCATGCAGTATAAACTTCTCAAAGTTTATGGCAGCAATATAATGCACTGCCCCTTGCAATCATTCTGAAGGCAAAATAAACCTTTTAAGAGCACTACCATGAAGGCTGTTAATGTGGAATTAATTATTTTTCTGCAGGATCATGGTTGGTAATGAGCTTCACTGAGCATTGTTACCAGAGTTTCAAGAAGCAGTTCAATAATATGAGGTCCTGTGTGTACTACTCCTCTGCTATCCAAGTTTAATGAGGCCATTCAATAATCCATTTAAAGATAATAAAGCTTATCAGACAAGCAGCATTCCCACTAGCTTCACAGAGATTTTTATTAAACTCGCATCGCTGACCCCTTCACTCTTCGTCATCTTGCTGCATTTAAAATGAAAGGCCGTCTGATATCAGGCAAAACAAACGCTGGGTGCTCAGCAGTCAGCAGCATGGAGAAAGCCAAGATATGATCGCACAGAAATATTCCACCAGGACAGAGGTGAGACAAGGCAGCATCGTCTAATTAATGCCAGTGATATGAAGGCCACTGTGACAAGGAGTGCAATCAGGAAGGCTAGGTGGGATGCTATTGACATGCATGGCACAGCAGCTTGATCAGTCTAATCCTCAGACTGAGGGGCGCAGACAGGGGCAACAGCCACACATCAAGGTCAAACTCACACCAGCCACGGCATGTCAGGCAATAGTTATGGTTTATCTACTGTATATATGTGAGTTTTACCACTGTAATTATGCCCATATCCCAGCAGCGACTGCTGATTTATTAACATGATACACAGTGCTCTATAATCATATAATTACTGTTAGTGTAGTTTATAAAGAACTGATTCAAAATTAGGCACTAGCCCTAAAACTACCTTGGTCGAAAAGGGGTCTTTTACAGCTGACAAGTGAATTGGCAGCAGAAAATAATGTTAATGGTTTGCTGTACCATGACCTCCATGGAAATTATCATGTCCATTTAGGATTCAAGATTCATTTATTATTATTATGATGTTTCCACTACTCAGTGGGTAAGTTAAAAAAACATGTCTGTTAATGCCTTGTTTCTGTAACTTTGAGAGAATTGTTGTAAGGCTGGAGAGGTTGCTCTGCATTGTGCCAGTTAAAATAATGGGGTTTCTCAATTAATCAGTCTCTTTTCATTGGTGCATATACCACTGTTTACCTATCTATGGAGGAGAAATTCTAATGAATTAATGCTGTTGCGGCTTGTTGTGCTGTCCACTTGTGACATAACACCGGCAACAGGAGTTGTGTGTGTCCACAAACTATCCTCTCATTTTTAGGAAGAGGCTCTCTGGTTTTCTCATTTTGACATAATTAAAGACTATTTCAAGTTATGAGGGATGCCAAGCTAATCTAGAGGTAACCAAGATTAAACATTAAGTGGCTGGAAATTAGTAAAATGAGTACTGTGGGCACTTTAAAGATATTTTAGCACATTTTCTCTGTTTCAGTGATACCTTAGTTTCTCCTACTTTGGCATTTTTTCAGTGCAAGCCAGCAACCATGAAAACCTATGTTCACACTGATGATGCAAATTCTTCAGTCCATAAAAGAAACAAATCTGGCTCATATAAATGAGGTAAACTCATTTGCATAAGGAATGATGGTAGGAAGTATAACCAACCATCAGAGCTCAAGCAGTGCACTCTGCCTGCAGAAGCTCTTGTTTTGCATGCTAAAACAAGTCATTAGGGAATCACTGGGGATAGAAACACAATAACACCCTAAGCCTTATTTCCACTTATTTCCCCTCATTGTAATATCACTAGGATGAACTCTGAACCTCAATCATGACAATCCTTTGAGTAAAAACAGCATCTCCATTACAGTCTATGAGAGAAGACTGAAATATTTACTTTTACACTGTAAAATGTCTTGCTTAGTTTGTATCTTGGTCACAATAGAAATCAAAGGGACCTTCTCAGTGTTGGTTTAGGTTTTTCTGTTTATATCTGGTTACTGTTGGGAAAAATCTCTATCAGATTTTTTTTTTAAACTTGGCCTTAAACTCAGTATCAGCCTCAAAAATGTAGTTAGGCATCACTGGCATTGATACACAACCGGTATCCTTTCTGCATGCCACATACAGGTCTGATGATGAAATCTGCTCAGTATTCTATGACATTTTGACAAAATATTGCATAAACAGTGGAAACTATGGAAACCAGTTCTCAGCCATTATATCAGTATGTTACTAACCTTGACCAGGCAGGAGTTGGTCACCACCTGTTTGGGGTCTACTACATCCACCAGTGGTTCCTTCATGGCCACATTACGGATACAGGTCATGTCAAATCCATATACGTTCTCCCACCCTGGTAAATAAATATACAGTAGCATCACTGAGTTATTTTAACATTTTTTCTATGTAAATTAAAATTATATGAAAGACTTCAGTTCATACAAAAATATTTCTTCAGTTTCTTGCATGGTAAAAACCACATGAGGTGTAAACAGTTGGACTGCAGCTACAAAACAACACTATTTAGTGCTTTACTCACACAACTTTCCAGAATAGTCTGATCTACAAGTCTAGAGTTAGTCCTGTCATTTTAGAACAATCTGCACTTTGACAGATAAAAGTCACAATGTATGATTCTGATGACTTAAAAACATCAGCCTCCTTTGATAGACTCCACTCCACTTACCTTGGATATCCTTGCTGCTTAAGCTTAAATATACCACACATTATTCTTTAAGCGCCACAAGATAATGTGTGAGCTAACATTTCTATCATGACATGAAAGGAAAGAGCTGCGTGAGTGCTAAGGGGAACTGGTGATAATGAACAGGTCACAAACCCCAAGGGACGTCTGCACTGTTCAGTATTTGCATTTATTGCTGCCCACTTAACTAAAGCGGTGTGCAGGACAGAGTAACACTAATGACCACAGGATGCACTTGGAGCACTTGAGTGCTCCAGAGGACCACTTCTAATTCAGTCTAAATGTCATCTTTGGCCATGTGCCTGGAGGGAAAGAAGTTTGTGATCAATAAGTGCACTTCTCTCACCTCTCTCTTCCCTCTGGCCATGTGTGAACTTCACACAGGCAGAATAATGGACTAAATTGAAGTCTCCAGACATCATAGGAACGCTTTGCAATGCAGTGAGCCAATGCGATATGACTTTCTCTGGATATTATCTGGTACACTGTGGTTTTATAATTTCCCAGATGTGTGGGGGAGTATGAGTAGGAGAGCTCTGGGCTATTGTTCACTTTTGCCTGTTGTCATCCAGGTTGTGGCTTAACATAAACTTTGGTGCAGTTAGTATGCATTGTGTCCAGCAGCAAAACATCGCCCACAGTCCTCCTGGTGGCTTTAGATTGGGATGATACAGAGATGGAGAAGCTTGTTGACTTATAGGATCAATGATCCCCAGTGTTGCACCTGAGGAAAAGTCCAAAATCATTTACAGAGCTGGAAAGGATGTGAGTGCACCATTTGTATGAGTACAGTCCAGAGGTGTTCTACATCTGTAGAACACCTGTCTCTAAGTGTTAGCCCTGTGATGGGCATCCATACATACAATAAGTGACATTTCCCAGTCCAAGTTCAGGTAATACACAGATCCAGCCACACGTAAACACACTCTCACACTGAACTTACAATGTATTTTGAAGTCTTTATACTGCCTGTCTTCTATGGCCACCACATACAGAGAGGCACGATCAGGGAACATCAATCCACCGGGTTTCTGTTTGACATATAAGGCAAGGAAATAGCTCAGCAATGATTCCGAACACACTGCATACAATAAGGTTTACATTACAGCAAGGGTGACATTTCATTTTTTCATCCAAATACCAGTTTAAATTCTTGATGTGTTATTGTTTCTTCTATGTCCAACCTGGATCAGAGGAGCACTATAACATTACTTTCCACTAACAACAAATAAACAATAAACAAGAATGTCAGTAGTCCTTATACTACTGCATGCTTTTCAAGTTTTTCCTCATAATTATGACTTCCAGTTGAGAGTAGAATTTTCAATAATCATTAGTTATAATAGTGAATTATTATGAGAAATAATTATGCAATAAAAATCTACTATATGGAAGTTTTAACAAAATTCAGAATTGCCGTTCCTGTTTTGATATTTTCTTGCATAATTTCTTGTTTTCTGACTTCCAGATATACTCTTAATAAAAAAACACACACACAAACTCACATAGTGACAACTCAGTAAGCAACCAGTGATGACCGGTCACATTCTTACACTGTTTTGTTTTAAGTTGCCACAAGCAGAAAAAGATGGGCTATATCTCTAGATGCTGTTATAAAGTGATGGCATTTATTACATTATGTTAAGAAAATATTATATTTATAATTTTTGTTTATTATAGTGATGGTTTATTTTGTCCCTGGGATATTTGTGTATGATGTTGTTGTATGACAAACCCTGAAGCAATATCATGTATGGAATATACAAATAAACATGTACAGTGGCAAGAAAAAGTAAATGGAATTACCTGATTTTCTACATGGTCAAAAAACGTGATTTGCTGTTTATCTAAGTCACAAGTGTAGACAAACACAATCTGCTTAAGCTAATGCCACACAAACAATTAGAATGTTTTACTGTATGTCTTTATTGAGCTCGTACCAGTGAGTGTGGGCATGTGTGGTTGTCTGTCTCTAAGTGTTAGCCCTGTGATGGGCATCCAGCTTCTAATGAACTTCAGCTGGTGGACGGCCACCCTGTCTTTATCCTGTTGGACACATTGGTAAACTTGGGAATTCATTCTTCCCTCCATGATGGCAAGCTGTTCAGGCCTAGAGACAGCAAAGCAGCCCTAAATCATGATGCTCCCTTTACTGTACTTTATAGTTATTGCTACCAAAGAAATTTCAACCAGTTATAAAATCCAACGGTCCACTTACTTTTTCCACCATCACTTTGAATATTTAATGGCTGGGTTCAATAAAGACATGAAATATTATACAATAATTCTTTGCATGGTATTAGCTCAATCACATTGTAATTGTCCACACTTCTGACTTAGAATAAGAAGCCAGGTGATTCCAAATGGCTCACTTACTTTTTATTGGCACTGCAAACACACACACACACACACACATTATACCAGCCATTTGTCCCTGGCAAAGATGACAGTGTTGAGCATTGACTCATAGAAGAGGCAGTAGCCCATCCACTCAGATATGATGATGTCAACCTTCTCCACAGGAAGCTCCATCTCCTCTACTTTGCCTTTGAAGATGGTGATCACTGAAATACATAATATAACTTTGAAATCATAATCAATGCTACTATTAAAATGTCTTTACAAACAACTAAACACTTTTATTAAGGAATGATGCGGCCTAAATATATGTACAGGGTGGGTCATGGAAAAGTAGCCCGCCTTCGGTGATAGTATGACAAGATGAACAAGCATCTTCTATTATGAAATTATCTGTACTTACAACTTGCTCTACTGTTAAAAGCAAGTGTGTAAAGAAAAGGTGTATCAGTATAACTAAATTAGTAACTGACAATGGACATCAGTTGTTTTGTGACAAAGAAAGAACAACATCAGGTTGTATAGTATGTTCTACCATGGCAGCCCTGGTGTTCTTATGGAAATCAGCCCAGTGGGGGTTTACTGTGGTGGAGTGGATCTTTTCCCTGTCTGACATTAGCTCACTTCAGCTTTGTTTGTTCGGCCTTGGCAAGAGTTTCCCTGGCGATACATCTATCTGTCAGAATGACATGTACTCTGTTACTCCAACCGGTGATTGATCCACAACTGAGATTGAACATACATAGTTTCAAATTTTCTCTACTTGTACATACTTGATATTCATGGGTTTATAGGTAGGACATTTGCTGAGAGGGTGGTTTATGGAGCCATTATTTGGTAGATGCACAGTCAGTAGCTTGGCAGTAAATTTGTTTTCAGAGTTGCAGCAGTGCTATGATTAAACCAACACTTTGAAGTTATAAAAGTTGGCAGCATGTGTGTGTATACGAATGTAAACGAGCCTGACCAGCGTAGTATGGAATGATAAACACAGATCCTGCATTTGCCCATCATCACAAAGTAACAATCGTTCACAACCCCGAACAGTCAGCAACACTATGAAGACCATAACATAGTTTGTTGCTCCCTTCACTGCAGATGAAGTGCAGTGTCATCAAAATGGTGAGAGGAGAAACAGCTGCAGCTCTTACCACTGTCGAGGTGGTTGGACTTGATGATCCGCTCTGAATACTCTGATATACTGGAACATTCAATCTGGCAAAGAAAAAGAAACCCCAATTAACTGACCATAGATGAAGGAAATATTATCTTTAAAGGAATATCTGCTGCACTTGCATTAACGTGTCCTCAATTTCCT